TGCAAAGCGTCTCTAGTTGCTCTTTAAACTTTGCCTGGAATAAAGACAATCCTTCTTGCTAATTAGGGATTGTCATTGAAACCAATTGGTAACAGAGTGATCAGTTGAAAATCTCATATTGAGAGTGGCAGCAGACTGCAGTCATTATCACAGTGTGTTATCTGCGGGCTGCCAGCACAGCAAAGACAATTTACAATATCTTGGGAACATTTTAAATCCAAAGACAGTTTTATTCTGTTATTTCTATCTCCATCTGGGTGTGAGTTGCATATGAGCCCTTTCATTAGAACATTTTACCAAAAGCCTGTAATTTGTATATCATTTGCAGTTAAAGGAAAATATCAGTAGAAACGATTCCAAGTTACAATGACTACATAATAGAACCCTTTTGTAACTTTACAAAGCTATAACCTTTTGTGTTATGTGTACTGACCTTTGATCTTTTGCCATTGCTGTTCTCCTTCTGAAAAACATTTTTGCCTGACAGCTAGGCAGACTTACAGTTCTCACCAGTTTCTGGGTCACTGACCTGGAACAATAAATTTAGATCATACAAATCAGTAAGGAAAAGTCCTTAATTGGATACTATTTTTAGTGAGAGTATGACAGCCAGACATTGGGCATTTTTGGAGAGAAAGTACAACAACAGCAGCCTTTATCTTTCCAAAAATTATTTTCCACTGGACTGCCTCTTTTTTTCCAGCACATCATAGTTCATGAACACCTGTCATGGGAGAAACATGGATGCACCTTCACCTCTGTACAACCATATATATTGTATGTGAATAGGGTGACGACATTCCTGGTATTTTACCAAATACCAAATGTTATTAATGAGAAACCGACGGCCGACCCGAAGCCATGTGAAGCAAGCCGATGTACGGCTGAAATCAGCCGTACCAGCCTGAAGTGAATAGCCGAACAGTGTTCGGCTCACTTCACTTGGGGTTGGTTGTTCACTCGGTTGCCCTCGGCAGCTTAGTGAATAGACACGTAAGAATAACATGTTCACATATTCCAAAGTTTTACGAAAAAAAATATTATGGGCTTGCAAATTTTCTAATGACCCGCAACTGAAAACAGAGGACCTATGCATTAAACATATTGCACATTTTATATGTTGTTCTTATAAAAACTATAGTTTCAATAAAAACACATTGAGGGGGTTATATATAAAAAGTTTACAGAGCCGTTCGCTTTGCAAACATCTGACTTTTGCATTTAATTTGCCTTATGGCCACTAGATGGCGCTGAGGAGCATAGGAATGAAATACTTCTTTCCTGTGCACCTCAGCTTCATTTAGTGGTCATAATGTGTATTTTACTGATCTTACATCCGTTCTGAAATTAAAATATACTAGTAACATTTATTTTTGCCTCAATTTACACAGAACAAAGGTAGATGCAATTTTGCAGGGTGAATGGCTCTATGAATAGTTTATAAATAGACCCCTTGGTGTGCTTTGTGAGTTTCTGTCTTATCTGTGCAGTAATCCAGTGTGAAACATTTCTTCTGCAGGAGCTTCCTGTGATACAGACTGGTCAGTGCTGCTCTTTAATCCTTGTGCAGGGTGACTGATCTTGTATCTGCCACCTCCTGTAGTTTTCTGCAGGCAACTTGTAGTGGGTAGACCTGTTAGGTCCCTCACACACTTTTTCCCTGCACACGCTAAGTGCAGCACAGTTATGATGATACTGATACTTTTCCAAGGTAATATCTGGATCTACATTAATGTTCAAAGTGCTTCAAGGTCTCACCGCTCTATTCCAACCTCGGCTGTAGTAAATTCACACTCTGGGTGCAGGCTGCAGTGTACCTTTCACTTCCCAAATCAAGCTCCAAAAGATCAGACGCACAAAAACCAGAGTAAGTGTTGTACAAGATGTAGTAAAATGAATCCCAGCAAATTCCAAAAAGACAGATCTGTCTTTTTGGAATTTTCTCGGATTCGTTTTAATACATCTTGGACAACACTTACTCTGGTTTTTGTGCGTCTGATCTTTTGGAGCTTGATCTGGATCTACATTCAGTGATATTGCAGAAGTTAATTTTCTGGCAGAAGTTTAAAATGTTAGAAAAAGTTTGCAGATCTGATTCACACTATGTCTGCCTTGATGAATAATCGGATATACATCACATTGTGAGTATGATGATGTACAAATACGAGGCTACGCTGATAATTATATTTTTTTGTATCTTTGTTTTGTTTCAGTTGTGTGTAATACTGGAGCCAATGCAAGAGTTAATGTCCAGACACAAAACGTATAACCTAAGCCCTCGGGATTGCCTGAAAACCTGTCTATTCCAGAAATGGCAGCGCATGGTAGCACCACCAGGTATGTCTTAGCCAGTTGGTTATCCTGCCCGCAACAAATCTAATACTGTATTCTTACATGTACATCTGGGTATTACTACATTGCATATATTAGTAGTGAAGCAATGATATCACAAGTACTAAACCTTTTTGATCTGTAAGCTCAACATACAAAGCATATTACATAGTTACATAGTATTTGAGGTTGAATAAAGACATTAGTCCATCAAATATTAAATTTAAAAAAAACAATATAAATGACTACAATTATATGGTGATAAATAATGGCAATGGGGGTATATACAGTGGGAAAATGTGCCAGTTGGATAATAGTTGCATAGTTGCATAGTTTAGGCTTAGGGGAATAAAGGATTAATATGCATGGCTCCACCCAGTATCCTAAAACGGCATTTTTGTTTTATGAAGCAGTTGATTTTAGAAGTAGAGGCTGTTCATTAAGCAAAGTAAATCTTGACTAAGCTTAGGGCATCTCATTCAAATCGATTGCACTTTAGTGTGCAGGCATGGGCAGCCCTAGGCGGCTGCACTGGTGGAGATATGTACAGACTTGCTGGGGACCGGG